CTATAAGAAAGTGAAAATCAAAATCAACAAACAACTACGAACCGGAGACACTTTTAAGGGGGCGGGGGTGGGAGGGGAGAGATTGGGATCAGAATGGGGCGGCTGCAATTGTATGGGGAATATAAAAATAAAATTTATTATTAAAATAATAATAATAAAAAAAAGAAACAACCATTCTCATACAATGCAAAAAAAAAAAAAAAAAAGGGCTTAGGTGCTGGTCAAGACCAGGACTGCTAATGTTCATGGAGAAATCTTGTTTCTGGAAAACATCAGATCTACAGTTGTTTGCCCTCAGTTTGCCCTTTTTTTTTTTCTTTTTCAAATAAGCACTACTGAGTTTATTTGGCGCAGTGGTTGAGCACTGGGTTGCGAAGCTGCCCGCAGCCTCTGCAGCACCGGTTCGATCCCCGGCTGCTCCCCGGCCACCGGAGGAGGGTCCCACATGGCGCGCAGACCTCTCCTGCCGCCCGCTGCTCCCCTCAGCAGTGTACTTCGGTCCTTCTGCCTGCTCTGCTCCCCGCTCTGGCTCTGGTGAATTCTCTCACCCTCCCGCGCTTCTGACTGTACCCAGTGCTTGTATAAATAAATAAATAATTCTTAAAAAAAAACAAAACAAATAAACACTACTGAGATATAATGTAAATACAATGAAACACAGATAATGTCAGCACATAGTTCCTGGAGTTTTGGCCAAAGTATAAATCTGTATCTACCAATTCCCATCAAAACATAGAGCATTTTCATCACTTTAGAAAAATCCCTTGATCTGATTTCTTTTTTTTTTAAGATTTATTTATTTATTTATACAAGAACTGCGGTACAGGTCAGAGGTGCAGAGGGTGAGAGAATTCACCAGAGACAGAGTGGGGAGCAGAGCAGGCAGATGGACCAAAGATACCACTGAGGGAAGCAGTGGGCGAGACAGGAGAGGTCTGCTGCACCATGTGAGTTGCTCCCTGGCCGGCCGGGAATCGAACCCACACTGCAGAGGCTGCGGACAGCTTCACAGTGCTGTGCTCAACCCGTTGCGCCACCAGGGAGGCCCTTGACTTTATTTATGTAGTTTTTCCCATGTAGAAGTAAAAAGAATTATTGCAGTTTTTATGGTTTCATTTTTCACATTTAAATCTTGATCCATCTGAAATTTATTTTGGTGTGTGGTGTGAAAGGCACAGATTTAATTTAATGTTATTTCCCCAGAGAGCTATCCATTTGTCTCAACATCATTTATTGATAAACTTATTTTTTTCCCTCACTGATTTGAAATGCCACCTTTATCATGTATTAAATTCTCAAGTGTGTTTGTATCTATTTCAGACCTTCCCTTCTGCTCCACTGATTTGCTTATTTATTACTGATACAATCATAGTTTTAATCATGGCAACATTATTTTAAAGAATTTTAAAAAAAGATTTGTTTATTTATGCATACAAGAACTGGGGCACAGGCCAGAGGTGTGAGGGGTGAGAGGATTCATCAGAGACAGAGCAGGGGTCAGAACAGGCAGACCGAATGAAATACACTGCTGAGAGAAGCAGCCGGTGAGACAGGAGAGGTCTGCTGCACCATGTGGGTCACCTCCCTGCCTGGGATAGAACTGGTGCTGCAGTGGCTGCAGATAGCTTCATAGTGCTGCATCTTAACCCCTTACACCACCAGGGAGGCCTTATTTTAAAGAATCTTATATGTTAGTTTTATATTACATTTTATATTAATCTTATATTATCTCTTCAATGAGCTGATTTTCTCCAGTGTTCCTGGACTAGTTATCTCTGGCTGCATAACAAATTACCTGAAAAGGGCCTCCCTGGTGGCACAGGTGGTTGAGCGCAGCGCTGTGAAGCTGTCCGCAGCCTCTGCAGTGCCGGTTCGGTCCCTGCTGGCCGTGGAGATACGGAGCAGACCTCTCCTGTCTCTCCCACTGCTCCCCTCAGCAGTGTATTTCAGTAGATCTGCCTGTTCTGTTCCCCGCTCTGTCTCTGGTGAATCCTTTCACCCTCCTGCACATCTGGCCTGTACCCCGGTTCTTGTATAAATAAATAAGTCTTTAAAAAAAATTGCCCGAAAACCTTTATCTTAAGTTTCTGAGTCAGGAGTGGCTCAGGATGCCTCCTGCAGCCCAGCGGTCTCAGGGAATGCAGTCATCACAAGACTGCCCCAGGGCTGAGAGATTTGCTTCCAAGCTTGTTCACCTGGTTGCTGGCTGTACCACAGGGGTCCAGCCTCAGGGGTACGCAAGGCACAGAGCCAGTGATCCCAGGGAGAGAGAGACAGGGAGGGCAGGCCAGGGAACATTCAGTGCTCTGTGTACTAACATACTTTGCCAACCCTCGTGTGGTATGGGAGGACCAGCAGAGGGTGTGACCCCAGCCCACGGGGTCAACAGGTCCACTGCAGGGCTGGCGCTCCATCTCCAATTTTGGCTCTTCTCTTTTCACTTTGTTCACTTTTGGGGGGTTGTTCACCCATTTTATGAGTCTGCTTCTATTTGTGCTGGTAATCCCCAAATTCATCTGATCATTAACTTGCTTTCTTGAGTGGTAGGTACCTCCTCTGAAATGCCCACAGACGTCTGTATGTGACTTTTACCTCAGTCACCTCAAACCTGCTTCCACCTTGACATGTAGCACTTGGCACTGCATTTATCTGATTTCCCCCAGGACACCATGGCTCATGGCGGTTGGGACTGAGCCTTCTTTATTCTGGTGGTTGCAGTACATAACACAGAACCTCAAACAAAGTAGGCACTCATCAAATATTTGGACCCAGGTGACAACCTGGGTGGTGACTGCACTCTCAGATGCAGAAGAGGGCCTGGATTCGCACAACCAATAGCCCTGGATAGTGCCAGTGGTCCTATCCAGTGGGAGGAGCTGTTACACTGTTTTTTGTTTTTTGTTTTTTGTTTTTGTGGGACCCTCACCGGTGGCCAGGGATGGAACTGGCGCTGCAGAGGCTGCAGGCAGACTTGCAACCCAGCCCTCAACTGCTGCGCCACCAGGGGAGGCCCTGTTACACTGGTTTTGACTGAGGTTCGTGTTTTCTGTCGCTGGTAGAAATGTCTCTGTGGCTTGATACCCCACTCAGCCTCCTAGATGTCTGAGTTGTGGCTGTCAGCCCTTCTTCTGCAGTGTGGAGTCTGGAGCCTGTTGGACCTGTTGTGCATGAAAGTCAGGGGGCAGCTGGACAGATAAGGCTGCGCCCTTGGTCAGCAGAGCATGCAGCAGCCTGCAGAATATTAAACATTACTCAGGAGACAAGTCCTGCATGGCATGCCCCCCCCCCACCCCAGCTTGACTCTCCCTTCCCAAGTTCCCTCCCCAGCTGTGGGGGAAGTCTTTTCTTACACACATTCTTAATACTAGGACTATAAATTCCACGAATCCTTGAATGTTTCAGAGAGAATCAGCAGGACCTGAAACCCGGACTGCTGCATATTTACATCCTTGCACGCAGAAGCAGGCACCAGGACAAGAGGCTCTTCGCCTGCGCTCAGGAAAGACAAAAGCACAAGCAGGTAATGCTGAGCTGGCACCACCTCACCCCGAGCAGGGACAGTGTGACCTACAGGAGGCTTCCCACATGGGGGTCCACTGCTTTTGACTTTTTGTGCTAATGCTTCTTTTTTTCTGGTGCTATCTGCAGCTTAGTCTTTATTCCTTACTTCTCATGAGAAATCATTTCTCAGAGCTGCTCAGACCACCCAACTCAGTTCTTCGTCTTACTGGATGTGCAGGTGAAACCAAAGAGGGGAATAGACTTGCCAAGATGGCACATTTTCAGTTAACATCTCCCTTGTCTCTCCCTTTCCTGATTTTCAATATCTCTAGCTATCCCCGGTCTTGCCCCTAAGTTTTGTTTTCTTTCCATTTCCTTTCCCCTTCTTTTCTGTCTGTGGACTCAGTGGTGGAGGGCATCTTTTCCAAGAAGGCACCCCATCTTTTGATTTCTGAATTATTCAGTATGAAAATGGGAATCTAGGGGGCAGTGGCAGGTTCTGAGCTCCAGGACCTGCGTTCTACTCTGCCCAGCTGACTGCTTCAGAGTCAAGCAAGTGAGAATAGGGACAAGTGAGCAAGACCCTGGGCCCCCGGAAACTGCTCCTTCTTGGATCCTTCTTGGAATGGGAAGGAGAACTAGGGCGATAAATGATGGTTGGTCAGTCTCTTTTTACTTTACCTCCACAGGCCAGAGCTGCTTTTCTTTACCAGTCGGTGCTTTTTCTTGCTTTTTCTTGCAGACCTTAGAGGGAACAGCTACATACTTGCCTGGAGGTGGGACCAGCATTTCATGCTGTAACTCCAGTCGTCCAGCAGGGGGAGGCCTGTCCTGATGAAAGGCTGGTCCTCTGTTTCCCTTGGCCCTCAGAGCCAAGGAGACCTGAATCTCCTGACACATGATGGGGTTAATCTGTGGTCGCAGCTGCAGGGGGTGGGCGGGGGAAGGAGTCCCTCAGGGGTCATAACACTGTTTAGAATCTGATGTCCTGTTTAGGAAAAGTAGAACAATGACAAGGTGAAACCCTTATATCCTTGAATTGAAAGTCTGTAAATATGACCTTGCAGAAAGAAGAGGGGAGCAAAGAGGGGGTGGGGAGGAAGACAGGGAGATAGAAAAAAAGAGAGAGAGAGGGAGGGAGGGAGGGAGGGTGGGGGAGAGAGAGAGAGAGAGAGAGAGAGAGAGAGAGAGAGAGAGAGAGGTGTCTAGGAACTACAAAGTGTGTTTTTGGAAATACGGTATCAGAAGAGTCATAAATTGGAAACCTATACTGACCCTCTCACAGAGAAACATTTGTTCACCTTCATTGTGGCACTGATATAGACTGATATTTAATTTCTATTTTGCTGACAATTTCTGAATGGCACCCATTTATTTATCATTTATAGATACCGACCCTTAACTTAAGGGAAGTGGGTTATGCAGGGGTTGCTAAGGAACAAGGGGAGATGCAGTCGGTACTGGCAGGGGTTGCTTAGTAACCAGAGTCCCTTGGTGATGGAGTGGCCAGAGCAGGTCTGGAACTGATGAGGGTGAGCAGAGTCAGCCCACTGCTTATCCTCCCGAGAGCACATGCCTGTTGGACCCTTCACCCAGAAATGCCAAGGCCATGTAGAAAGTATACCCCAAGTCCCTGAGTGCCCTTGATGACCCCTTGCTCCCTACCTACTTCCCGCTACAGGAAGCTGATCAGATTCTGGGACTCAGAGATGAGTAGGCTCCTGAGTAAGCAAATGGGAATCTCACACTGGGGGAAGCGGGAACCTCTGGCTCACTTTGATGTGGACCTGGGACTTTGGAGTTTGGATAAAAGAGGGTCCCCTGACAAGCAACTCTGATATTTTCCTAGTTCTTCACATCTGAGTCTTCCTTGCCAGGTCTTCTCCTTGCACATATTTGCAGTGGACACCCCTCTCCTCCCATCCCTGGGGAAGAGGTGACCGTGGTCACCACGCTCACACCACAGCCTGGCTTGGGATTGCTTTTACTGGCCCAGGCTCCTCACAGCCTTCTTCTCTGCGGCAGTCTGGGGGAGACATCCACAGTCATCTGGAGCCATAGTCTGCTTTCTCAGTCATGAGGCCCTGTTCTCTGCACCCCAGGCACAGAGGTGTCCCTTTTCTCTCCCAAACACCCTGTACACTCACACCCCTTTGCTCACAGTCTGTCCGCTGAGATTAGAGCACCTGTCCTGCTGTGTCCTCCCACCACCCCCATCAGGACCCTCCTCCAACTACCAGGCCCAGTTTACTCACCACTTTGCCAGTGCTGACACTCCCCAGCAGGTAGAGTGAGCTGGCACCCATGGCCCCTATATCTTGACCCAGTACCCTGGTCTCAGGTCCCACAGGGTTCTGGGCGCAGAGGAAAGCAAGTGGAGCTCCCCTAAGTGGCTTGCTTAGCTGCTGCTGCTTCTACTACCTGGCAGGCTGCTCCCAAGAAGTCCTTTGTGACCGGCGTGTTTCACATAGAGAACATGTTTTAAAATGTCCATAGTGCAGAATGCATCTGAGAGAGAATTGAGAAACTGGCAAGTTTGTTTCTGAGAACTGGAAAGCTTAGGTTTTTTTTTTTTTTTGTTTTTTAAAAAATATTTATTTATTTATTTATACAAGCACTGGGTACAGTCAGAAGCGCGGGAGGGTGAGAGAATTCCCCAGAGCCAGAGCGGGGAGCAGAGCAGGCAGAAGGACCGAAGTACACTGCTGAGGGGAGCAGCGGGCCGCAGGAGAGGTCTGCGCGCGCCATGTGGGACCCTCCTCTGGTGGCCGGGGAGCAGCCGGGGATCGAACCTACACTGCAGAGGCTGCGGGCAGCTTCGCAACCCAGCGCTCACCGCTGCGCCACTGGGGAGAACCTGGAAAGCTTAGTTTTTGAACTACTTTTGAACTTTGAACTGCTTGAATTTTAAAATTTACCATGACAAGTCATCTCTAATTTTAAACTTTTTTTATTGTAAACTATTTTTAAACTTTTGTGCTATTGTAGCATAACACATTCATAAAAAGTATATATCTATTATATATATACATACACACATGTACGATATATGTATGTATACATATGATATATATATAATTTTATTTTTTTAAGATTTATTTATTTATACAAGAACTGCAATACAGGTCAGATGTGTGGGAGGGTGAGAGGATTCACCAGAGACAGAGCGGGGAACAGAACAGGCAGACTGACTGAAATACACTGCTGAGGGGAGCAGTGGACTAGAAAGGAGAGGTCTGCCGTGCCATGTGGGTATCTCCTCGGCCAGCTAGGATAGAACCTCTACTGCGGAGGCTGCGGACAGCTTCACAGCGCTGCGCTCAACTGCCTGCGCCATCAGGGAGGCCCGATATATATAATTTTAATGGACAACATGTAGCCATTAATCAGTCATAAAATAGAACACTTCATCACCTCAGAAGCCCCTTGGACTGCCCCCTTCCCAACCATAAGCCCCCTTTAACTCCAACAATACCCACTCCCCTAACTTTTGTGATAATCACGTCTTGTCTTTCTTTGTAGTTGTATCACTTGTTTGCATTTTTATTTTTATTTTTTAATTTTTTATATTTATTTATTTATTTATACAAGCATTGGGTACAGTCAGAAGCGCAGGAGGGTGAGAGAATTCACCAGAGCCAGAGGGGGGAGCAGAACAGACAGACTGATGAAATACACTGCTGAGGGGAACAGCGGGCGTGGCAGGAGGGGTCTGTTGTGCCATATGGGACCCTGGCCTGGTGGCCAGGGATCGAACCGGTGCTGCAGAGGCTGTGGGCAGCTTCGCAGCCCAGCACTCAACCACTGCGTCACCAGGGGAGGCCCACCTGTTTGCATTTTTAAATAATAGAATTATTTTGCCTGTTTTTGAAACTTATGTATGTAGAATCGCATATTCTTTGGTGCCTGGCTTCATTCCTTCAATGCTATCTTCTTAGATTCGTGTATGCTATTCAAGTGCATTAATTTTCATTGCTGTATAATATTCCATTATATAAATGCAACACAATTTTCCTCTCTGCTTTACCATTAGTGGATTTTTAGTTTTGTTTCCAGATTGAGGCTGTTACAAAGAATGCTGCTATGAAGGCTCTTCCCTGAGTATGAAACTGTTGAGATAGAGGGTTGGATGAGCAGCTTCCAGGGTAGTGCTAAGCCATTTTCCAAAGTGATTGTGCTTACACTCCATCCAGCAGTGAATGAGTATCTGTTAATATCTGTTTTTTCAACTAGAAAAAGTTCAGTAAAATTAATAATTGGTATAATTATTCGTTTGAGGTCTGGCAACCTTACTCTACTGGAAAGTTTCATGTGGGGAGTGTGGGGGGTGGGTGTCTGGGGTCAGAGTTTGCCATGGTGTCAGTATCTGTTGCCTGCTGCCTGACTTGTTGCAAGCGCTCAGGGCATTCTCATGGAATAAAGGGGGAAAATAACCCTGTCCGTGCGCATTGAGTCTCACATTTGAATTTGCCTGTTTTATAAATAGATAATTTTCCAGACAGGTTTTCTGACCTGAGGCTCATGTGTTTGAAATTCACCCTGACTTACTTGACTCTCTCCCACTCTGGGCTGCTGGCCTTGACTGCTTGAAGGAGTTGGGACAGGTTACCATCATACTCACTTAAGGCATCAGTGATAAGTGAAGTCAATTCTTCCCCCAGGTCGAGTTCCACAGGAAGCAGACCAGGCACTGCTACCATGCTCCGAGCAGTGGCCTGGGTCCACCGAGGCCTGTTTCACCCCTGCGGGGCACTATCTGTACGGATGCGCAGCAGTGGTGCAGACCAAAAGGGTGTCCTAGCCAATCGGGTAGCCGTGATCACGGGGTCCACTGATGGGTGAGTGTTGGGGTTTGACTGCCCCCCCCAGGAACCCTGCTTTTCACCAAAGGACCCCAGGGTGTAGAGCTGGACACAAACTTGTTGATTTCCAGGGCTAGGCAGAGGAAGAACAGTGGTGAGGGTCTGACGCTATTATGCTCCCTCCATCTCTGCCCACAGGATCGGCTTCGCCATCGCCCGGCGTCTGGCCCAGGATGGGGCCCATGTGGTGATCAGCAGCCGGAAGCAGCAGAACGTGGACCGGGCAGTGGAGGCCCTGAAGGCGGAGGGGCTGAGGGTGACAGGCACCGTGTGCCACGTGGGGAAGACTGAGGACCGGGAGCGGCTGGTGGCCACGGTGAGGGGCCGGGGTGGTAGGACACAGGGAAGAAAACACATAGAACCTTCCCTCACTACTCAGCCCTGGGAGGAGCAGGGGCTGGGATGGAGGTGGGGAGGCCTAGAACATATCCTGAGATCATGATTGCTCACAATCTAGCTGAGTAGACCACGTGATTCACACTGACTCTCTGGAAAGTTCATAGAGGACCCTCTTCCCCCATCCCACACCTGGGACAACTGATTGAGGAGCATCTTGAAGGGATTTCCCTATCCCAAGCTCCCAGAGGGATTTCTGGAGAAGACTGTCCTCCCCTGAGACCTTCAGCACCAGCAGGCTTGCCTTTGGGTCTATCTCAGACACTTGCCCTTCACTGAGTGTTCGGTTCTCATGGGAACCTGTGACCGCTCCTGGTTGAGACAGTATCTAACCCTCAGACTTCACCTCAGTGCCCCATGTACCCAGCTGCTGTGGGAGGGCAGCCTCTGCAGGCATTTCCACACTCACCCCATCCTTCATATTCCCTTTCTCCCCAGGTCCAGGAGCACTGTGGGGGTGTCGACATCCTGGTGTGCAATGCTGGTGTCAACCCCCTGGTGGGGAGCACTCTGGAGTCCGATGTTGGGGTGTGGGACAAGGTGAGGCCCAGGGAACAAGCCAAAGGGTCTGAAGTGCCAGCTCTGCACTGGGCTCCACCCCCACCAAGCACCCCCCCACCTCCGCCCACATTCCCATGTTTACAGACGGGCGCTGGATGACAGCTGGCCAACTAGTTCCCCGAACATGCTGTGTTTCAAAGCTGGTTCCTACGCTTCCCTCCTTTCTTTTCTCTCCCTGTCCCTTTTGCATTTATTTGTTCAGCAAAATATTTAGTGAGGGCTTGCTTTGTGCCAGGCACTGCTCCAAACTCTGGGAAAAAGTCTGCTCTTGGGAAGAGTCAAGAATAGTAGTCTGTTGTCTGTCAAACAGTTCTTATTTTTATATCCTTGGGACATATATTGGTGACCATGTCTATTGTTGCTGTCCCCTCTTTCCTAAATTAGGGCTCTCTGCTGGCCCTCTCCCCTGGGCTTGCCTGTAAGCTCTTTGTGGGCTTGGACTTCCAATCTGGTAACAGTCCACTTCGCAATCCTGCCATCTGGGCCGGGAGAGACCTAGTCAATTCGTTGAGGTCCATCACAGGCTCGCCTAAGACTCCTGTTCCTTTCACGCCTGTGATTTGTTCCCTAGATCCTCTGACTGACAGGAAGGACAGGGGTGGAATCTGCTGTTGGCATCCCACTCTGGCCCAAGCACGGGGTGAAGCTGTTCCTTCTGCCCGCCCTGCTGTCTGCACTGTGCCAACATCCTTCTCAGGCTGGCCCTGAGTACCTGCCCTTGGCAGGCTGCCCTTCCTAGCATCCTCAGAGCTGACCTGAAATCTGAGCTCCCTGCAGCTGCTACAAGCAGCCTCCCTAGGCTCCTCAGCTGCATCCTTAATGACTCTGGAGGATTATTTGTGATTAGGTAGCCGGGATTTCATTACCAGTAGTCTTCTAACTGTCCTGAGTCATTTTCCCTTTTAGTGTCTCACTTCATGGGATCATGACTCTTTTTCTTGGAACGGTTTGGATTCAACCACCCACCCCACCCCCCGCTCCCAGAAAATGGGTGTATTTGCTGCAGCCCCACCTTACTTTTTCTGCTGCTCCTCTGTTCTCCAATGTCTTGCTTCCCCACATGCAATTCTGCACTGTCGCATAGAAATCACCTCCAACCCCACTGCCACCACCTGGGACATCAAGTGGTCACAACACGAGTTTAGAATCTGCCCAGTGCTCTGCTATGAACTGAATGCAATTTTTGGTGGGTGTCCTGTGAGGGAATTCCTACTCTCTCATCTTATCCTTGGGCCAGTTGGAGCTCTCTCTAGACCAGGACCCATTTCCTTCAGCTGGTGGGACGGCTTTCTTCTCCCTCCCCCGGCCCCCCATTATTTCTTCGTCCAGGGCTCCCTGCACACGCCCTCCTCAGCTTCACCATCCCTACTCTTCTTTCTTTTCTGATTGGGCAGTTTTCTTCAGCAAGGGAGACTTGCCTTTCCTGGGTCATGTTAGGCTCCCGAGCCCAGGAGGGGTTCATCTCAGCCCACTGACACACATGGAGACTAGGGACTTGACCAGGAAGTCCTTAGCTTAACTCCAGTTCCTTCTTGGGGACCTTTGTTAGACATTCAAGCTACTTTTTTGCAGCCCTAGGAGTCATCCCCAGCCCCAGTACCTGTCATCCAAGGGGCCAAGCAGCATTCAGTTGAGACACTTCCTCTGTCCATGTCTAAGGACGTGGGTGGGTGTGGGATGAAGATGTGGGAAAAACAACGGACATTTACAGGCCTGGCCATTTACAGATGGGCGGCCTTGTTGCTTAGAGATGTGGCCCACCGCTGACTTCATTAAAGACAGCACCCACAGAAAGGATCCCGGTGCTGCCTGAGTCCCAGCTGGCATTCTCTGCGGGGTCTTTGCATCTTTCCTTGGCAGTTCCTCTCTTACTCATCCCGCGTCCAGACCCAGTAGACACAGTTCCCGGATGAAGGTCAGGGACCCTCCTGTCTGAGCCCAGACCCAGGCTTTCGTGGCAGGCTGCCTCAGCCTCCCAGAACAGCAATCTCTGTTGTGTTGCCTTCTCTGTGTTGGTGGTAGGAGAGCTCAGAGCCAAGTCTGCAAGAAACTGGCGTGAAGGTAGGCCTCACAGCATGTACTTTTTGTGAACAAATAATAGAATAATGATCAGACTTGACTGCGTGCTGTGAAGTGTAGGTACCAAGCTCACTTTCGCTTTTTCTTATTTTCCTACACTGATTTTTCCTATTCTCCATTTCTAAACACGTAACAACTTTTGATTTGTTTTATCCTGTTACATTGTGAGTTCTACTGGAATGAGGCAAGAGCACAGACACAGAGACACAAAGATGAGTCTTCCAGTTATTTTCCTGCTCTTAGCACCCCCTCCCTTCTGTCTGTTCTGTCTTCAATCTTTTTCTGCTGGCCTCTGCTTCTAACTCCTATCTGCACAACCACAGAGTAGCCCAGTTTCTTTCATGTCCTGAACCTTTCCTTCCTTCACACCAGTCCTGAGCAACTTACATTTTTTTTTTTAAAGATTTATTTATTTATTTATACATGCACTGGGTACAGTCAGAAGCGCGGGAGGGTGAGAGAATTCACCAGAGCCAGAGCGGGGAGCAGAGCAGGCAGAAAGACCGAAGTACACTGCTGAGGGGAGCAGCGGGTGGCAGGAGAGGTCTGTGCGCCATGCGGGACCTTCTGGTGGCCGGGGAGCAGCCGGGGATCGAACCGGCGCTGCAGAGGCTGCGGGCAGCTTCGCAACTCAGCGCTCAACCGCTGCGCCACCGGCGAGGCCCCGCAACTTACATTTTTAGTGTTCTGCTCACAGGCTGTCACTTAGCTGCCTACATATCAGATCGTTAGCAAATTGGAAACACCTCAAGTCAGAAGGGGGACGATTGTCTCAGCTCTGCACACATCTGGGTTTGTTGTACAAATTGTAGGATTGCAAGTTCTTGCAAGGGCTCACCGTGCCTCTCTCTATCCTCCACCATGCTCACCATGCCTCCGATCTGATTGCAGATCCTGGATGTGAATGTGAAGTCCCCAGCCCTGCTGCTGAGCCAGCTGCTGCCCCACATGGAGAACAGAGGGTGAGGGAAGGGGTTTGGGGCTGGTGGGGGTTGGGAGGCTGAGGCACAGGAACTGAGTCGGGAGAGATAAGGGCACGATCAGGAGGGGGAAGACAGAAGTCTGTAATTCCCATGTCCCCTTCCCTCTGTCCTGCCTTACTCTTTTTTTTTTTTTTTTAAGATTTATTTATTCATGCATACAAGAACTTGGGTATAGGCCAGAGGTGTGGAAGGTGGAGTGGGAGGATTCACCAGAGACAGAGTGGAACAAATGTAGTGAAATACACTGCCTAGGGGAGCAGCGGGGAGTCAGGAGAGGTCCGCTGCACCATGTGGGTCACCTCCCTGGCCGGGGATCGAACCCATGCTGCAGTGGCTGAGGATAGCATAGTGCTGCATCTTAACCCCTTGAGCAACCAGGGAGGCCCCTTTCCTACTTTACTCTTGTGCAGCTACAGCTCTGAATTCTAATGGCTCTGGGGTGGGGTTATGTTCCAGGGTCCGGAGACATTGTCCTTGGCCTTGACTCCCCAGATGTGAAAAGAGGCTATGCTTAGCTCCTTAGCTTGTGGGCTGGCCCTTTTTGTTTTTCTTACAGCTGGACAGTTCCTTCTGGATAATTTATAGGCTGTGACAAGGTTTGCCCCCTTTTGTCCACAGGGGCAAACCTGTCTTAGCCCATCTTCATTCTGTTTCTTGGTTTCCAGGGACCCCCCTTCTGTTCCAGATACTGTATGCCTGACTGCACTGCATGTGTCCCCAGCAGGCTTGTGTTAGGGATCTGGGCCACCACCTCCCTCAGAACGCAGCCGCTTCACGGCTCCTCCTGCAGACACAACCTTAAGACTTGACCAGGGATGTGTGGCTAGAAGGAAAAATTCCTGACTGTCAGATCTTGCTTTCTCCTCTGCCCCATTTCTTCTCGGAGGTCCCTGTTGGGCATGCACTGTCAGGCCCAAACATCTTCACCGAGTCCACCCTGCTCTTCCCCACACTGGCCTTCTGTTCATCTCTCCTCTGAGGAGAAGCTGAAGAGTTAAATTGGTCTGAGCATAGGTACTGAGATCAGAGAAATAGGGTTGGAACTCTAGCTTTGCCACTTAATGACTGTTGCTAATCCTGAGCCTCAGGTTCCTGAGCTGTGAAATGGGGACTTGCATTACTGTTGTGGGAACTGCAATATTCCATGGATGCGTGATAGCACCTTAATCAATGGTGAGTTATTGGCGTCCTCTTATCTCCCTCTGTGTGTGTCTGTCTCTTCTCAGGAACGGTTCTGTTATTCTGGTCTCTTCTGTGTCAGCGTATATGCCACTTTCGGTGAGTGTTTGCTCCTCGTGCTTCTTGTTTGGATAGGGAAAACGGTTGTGTTGAGCCCCACGGGACATTACCTGGCTAGACTCTGCCTTCCTCTTGCTGCCCTGGCTGAGCCCATGTGGCTGTTGGGTCCCAGCTTCTGATACCAGACCAGAGTTGGGAGTGTGTCTGAATTCTGGGCTTGGGACACCACAGTGGGTGAGGAATCTAACCGATATTTCCTTCACTCCCCTATTGCTTATCACTTTCCAGATGCTGGGTGTCTACAATGTTAGTAAGACAGCCCTGCTAGGTCTCACCAAGACGCTGGCGTTGGAGCTGGCTCCCAAGGACATCCGGGTGAACTGTCTGGTTCCAGGAGTGATCAAGACTGATTTTAGCAAAGTGGTGAGGACTGGGGTGTGTTCCCTGTGGCCCAGCCTGGTTCATGGAAACTCTCCCTGACAACTAAGGGATAATGGGGTGACTGAAGCCTCAGAGTGGCATCCTTAGAGCTGGGATCCTCAGGGGCCACTGAACTCAGGTGTGACCCAGTCCCTCAACTCCTTGAAAGGGCAGGCTTTGGGCCCTCCCAACCCTTCATTTTAGCAGCACTGACTCTTTTATTTCTTTCCTTTGCTCAGTTACATGACAATGAGGTTTTTTGGAACAACTTAAAGGCACAGATGCAACTGCAGAGGCAAGTGGGGTGTGGTGCTTCAGTGGTCTGGGCACAGCTGGGGAGAAGCAGCTGAGCCCATCTCAAGAGCAGATTCTTTCCTGTCTACTGGCCTTTCTTTTTGCTGAAGTCAGGGTCCACTCAATCCTGGAGGGTGCAAGTAGCCCTGCTGAGCCCACCCTGTTCCTCCATGGAGCCCCCCAAGCAGCAGAACCAGAGTCTGAGGTACTGACCCTGATTCTGTGCATCTTCCATGCAGGATGGGGCGGCCTGAGGACTGTGCGGGAATAGTATCCTTCCTGTGCTCTCCAGAGGCCAGCTACATCACCGGCGAGAGCATCGTGGTGGCCGGCTACTCCCCTCGGCTCTGACAGGGCTGGGGGCCCTGTGGGTCTGGGCATAGCCAGAGGGTGGGGGGGCTAGGAGGTCATTAATTTCCAACAGAATCCAAAACCCTGTCAGACTAACAATTTGGGGGCTCACTCGTGTCAAGCTTGAGGAAGCTCCCCCAGTCTTTTCATTCTCAGGACCCTGCCTGCTATGCTCCAGCCAACATGGGGGCTTTGGGGATAGGGCTTTGGAGCTGAGAATTTCACGGCATTGCTGCTCTGGAGGAACCCTAAGAGAAAGGTTTAGAGGCTCAGTCTCCCGAAGGATCCCAGCTCCTTCTATCCTTTGTGCTTTAAACATTTCTTTTCAAAAAATAAACTCAAATTGATCCTCAAGTCTGGAAACTTATGGTTGGGGTGGATCCAAGGGTGACATGCTGTGGACAGGCTTCTCCAGTCTCCTGCTCCTGTGCTGGCCCCGAGGCTGCCACACACTCACGCTCTGCTCCCACTCCTGGGCTGGGGCTCGGGCTGCTGTGCAGGCCGGAGGGAACCGTGGGAGGAGAAGGAAGCACTCTGGGGCTCTTGCAAACCTGAAGATAAAAGCCACACTAGCCCTTACGTACACCTTCAAGTTGAGAATGTCTACCTTAGAAGAGAGTAGTCAGTGCTGAAGCTCCTCTTGAAGGTTGGCCCAGAGGTGGCGCCTTTTGGCAAAGGCCCTTTCCATTGTCCTGACTCATATCTAAAGGCACAATCTGTGTGTCCACGGGCAAGGATGGCATCCTTCCTTGCCATCTAATAGTCTTGCTCTGAACGGGTTCCAGGGGATGACTGGGGACAATGTTCCAACCTGACCACTGACCTTGGTCTCACGGAAGCCTCCCAACAGATCTTTCAGAGATGAGCCCTTGTCATTATTTTACCACTCAGTTATAAAAATATTTATTACTCCCGGGCCTCCCCAGTGGCGCAGCGGTTGAGCGTTGGGTTGCGAAGCTGCCCAAGCCTCCGCAGCACCGGTTTGATCCCCCGCTGCTCCCCGGCCACCAGAGGAGGGTCCCACATGGCGCAGACCTCTCCTGCCGCCCGCTGCTCCCCTCAGCAGTGTACTTCGGTCCTTCTGCCTGCTCTGCTCCCTGCTCTGGCTCTGGTGAATTCTCTCACCCTCCCGCGCTTCTGACTGTACCCAGTGCTTGTATAAATAAATAAATAAATCTTTAAAAAAAAATTTTATAACTCCCTACGATAAGCCATGCATTGTGCCGGGCACCCCGGAGAACACAAAATAAGTAAGAACTGACCTCCTTTCACAATACCTTCTATTAAAGGATCCTGCTGTCTCTGAGAAGTTGCTGAAATGATCCTTACTTAGTGTTGAATCCACAATCACAAAAAATCAGCTCAGCTCTTGCACTATGCAGACAATAGAGTAAAAGCAACTGATTGAATTATTATCTGTACTTTTAGTTTGAAAGGGACTGAAAAGAGAAAAGCAGCCTCTGGCAGTTGGGATTTGACCTAGTACCCAGAGCCTGGCCTTGGCACTTCTCACAGCTAGGCAGAGGTATTCTGTTGAACGTGAACAATTTTAGGAAATGCCAACACCAGACAAGCACTTTATCCATTAGCTGGCTGGACAAAGACAAAAGCAAGACCACTCTATAATCATATCTGAACACAGGCCAAAACATTATTGTCCAGTCTATGGAAATGACGGAACATTCACCCTCCATCCTGAATAACAAGAGTAACACCTGGGGCTTTGTCAACAGTACATTTAACTTTGTTCCTTTTTTCTCTCCTTCTAGATGCAAATTAAGATATTTTTAAGATTCTAATCATAGACTTACGGTATTTAATTCAGAGCAAAGGCTTGCTTCCTCAAATCCTCCTCATCACTCAACCCCAGCCTTGGCTTATAGGGGTGCTGACATTCTCTCTCTGAGCTGCCCTAGGCTTCTACCTGGTGAGTGTTCACCTCATTGCAACAGCTCAATAAACCCAGCTTTCTTGACTACAGTTGTGTTCCAGGTGGTCTTTGGCTAGGAGTATTGACAGCACTTACATTTGTTTAAAACATATTTGAAATGAATATGGTAACAACTTTAAGTACGTCAAAAGGGTGGAAAATGAAAGGAAAGTCTCTCTTCTACTCTTGATCCCTGGAATTGACCCCTTTCCCAGAACTGGTCACTGTTAGCCAAGACAGTCTGTGTAGACAGAAGCAGACATGTTTACCCACTTAGATGCCAACGTTACAGGTCATTAGCCATGGTTTGTCTTTCCTTCCATCTGACTATTTAATATTTATGTTACTGAATCTCCACAATGAGAGATGCCATGAACTTTCTCAGTGAAATGATAAAGGTGAGTTAGCATCGGGTGGGGACCGTTTTTCATTCAGTAAAGACAGGGGACACCAGGGGTTGGTTGATAGTTGGGTTTATTTATTTATTTATTTATTTATTTTATTTTTAAGATTTATTTTATTTATACAAGAGCTGGGGTATAGGCCAGAGGTGCAGGAGGGTGAGAGGATTCACCATAGGCAGAGCAGGGAGCAGAACAGGCCGACATACCGAAAGCACTGCTGAGGGGAGCAGCGCACGAGACAGGGGAGGTCTGCCGCGCCATGTGGGTATCTCCCTGGCTGACTGGGAATTGTACCCGTGCTTCAGAGGCTGCGCTGTGCTCAACCCGCTGAGCCACCAGGGAGGCCTTAGTTGTTGTTTTTTTTTTTAATTTATTTATTTATGCATACAAGAACTGGGTTGTAGGCCAGAAGAAGGGGTGGGGGGTGGGCGAGAGGATCCACCAGAGACAGAGTGGGGAACAGAACAGGCAGATCCACTGAAATACACTGCTGAGGGGAGCAGCAGGCGAGACAGGAGAGGTCTGCTGTGCCATGTGAGTAGCTCCCTGGCTGGGGATGGAACTCTGCAGTGGCTGTGGACAGCTTCACAGTGCTGTGCTTAACTCCTTGGGCCACCAGGAAGGTCCGCTGGTTGAGTTTTATGCAACAGTCAAAACTTTACTTACAAAGAAATGTATTTATTGCTTTGATTCTGCTTTCACAACGGAGATTGGAGTGTCACCGACTTGCAGCTTTTACAGCTTCCCATCAGAGCTGAGGCTAGGCAGATTCCTCTCTGTGTCTTACACACCCTCAGGCCCTTTCCTCTGCCTCCCCTCTGAGTGGTTGACTGGTTTGTTTTTTAACCACCACTCACCCTCAGGAGCTTTCTTCCTGCCTGCAAAGGGCTTGCACTCCTGGTACCTTGTGCTATGCACTCGCCTGCGTGAGGACAAGCTGCCGCCCTGAGCGGAACCACCTCCAGGGGTCGCTAGCACACACTGGCCACGGTGCCAGGCATCATTGCTAGATTCTCCTTCAGCTCAGGGAGGGTCTGCCATCTGCTGTTCTGTGAGCTTCAATTTGCAAAAGCCAAGATTCATGGTCTAAGGGAGCGAGGTGCATTCAGCAGTGGACTGCTGAATAAATGAATACATTTGGGATGAATGAATTTCACTTCTGAAGGGTAGGTCTGACGTCAGCTCTTCCTGCTTCTGGGGAACCTCTTCTTAGGCCCTTAGTTCCTGGAATTGTTAGTGGCCGAAAATGGTTCCTTCTGAAAAAGCAGAGGGTTCCCTCCTAAGGCCTCTAGGGGCTACAGCCCTTTCTGCTTCGTGCACTCCAGAAACGTCTTTCCTTTGGCAGATAAAGGGGGAAAATTTCAGAGTTTTCTAGACTTGGGCTTCAGGTTGCTTCTTCAGTTTCCATCTCTTGCGTGACTTCCAGTCCTACTGGCTCCAGGTCCTGCCAAAGAGGTGGGGGTGAGGGATGTATGCCTGAGTGATCCTCAATGTTCTTGGGTTCAGGACAAGCATAGTGGCTGCCACAATTGTGCCTTTATCCTGTGTCAGGCCAGTGCTAAGGGCTTTGCAGGAATTACCTCTTTCAGAGATTGGAACAGCTCTGTGAGGCTGGAAAGCCTCAACCCCATTTTATTTGTGGGGAACTGGAGATTCTAGAGATATTTAGTCATGTTGAATCCTAGGGTAAGTTAGGGATAATTAGGCAGCCTCAAGGACAGTGCAGGGACTTCAGGGAGTTAAGGAAGGCTCCAGTGATAAGGACCACAAACTCCAAAGGGGACTAATTAAACACCTCAAGACTTAGGACATTAAGGACTTACTTTATGACCTTAGGGTTAACAAGACATTCCAAATAGAGGGCAATGAAGAAAAAAAGATAAGGGCTGGGACACAGAGACTTAGTTCTGGGCACAGAGACATTTAGGTAGTGAGTGAGACCACCAAGAACTGACCAATCACAAAGAGACTGGTGGAGCTTTAGAATAATTAGGGAAAGAAGGTATATATTCCCTGAGACAGGACTCTACTTTGGCTTCCTTGCCCCTCCCCAGCCTGGTTTCATGGCCTGGGAGTCCCACTTTATTTCTGTTCCTTTTCTCCTCAATAAACTTTTTCTTTCTCTAAACAAACCTCCCTCTTCTCACTTGCTGGCCTGAGCATCTGCAAATTTCCTGCTGCAGCTTCGTGAGACACCAACCCGTGGTGGTCTAGTGGCTGGGGCTCAGCGCTCCCCTGCAGCCTGGGATCCATTCCTGGCTGGGAGAGTAGGCCTGAAAACCTACAATTCCTGTATCAATGTACCTAAGTGTGGCTATGTATCCTGGGCCCACTTCAGATGTCAGCCAGAGTTGGGGGCACAGTTCAGGGGTTGGGGAGGGCTTAGACTCAACTTAGATACAAACCAGCAGTCCTCTTGCTTTCTGCAGGTTCTTTGACTGCAGAAAGACCTGCCACCGTGTATGCGCGGGGGCCACAATGCAGGGTCACAAGGTGTGGGGAGGGGAGGAGGTGGACTGTGGGAGAAGTCTGGAAGGCATTCTGTGCTTTCTCAGTGGACCTCAGCAGAGTGGATCCCTACTGTCCACAGCAGGGGCCTGTACAACACTCACCTGTACCTGTCTCCCTGCTCCCTCACTCCTGTTCCCCAACACCACATCCCAGGAGAGGACTGAACTTGATACAGAACGCTGGCCTCAGTTTCCCTCAGCCAATAAAAGGAAACAGAGTTTTAGGAAAAGGAAAGTGGTTTAATTTGCCAACAAATGAGGAGGGCAGCAGACTTGTGTGTGAAAGACCACCGTCCTGCTCTTTGGCAGAGTGCAGGGGTATTTATACAAAGGGGAAAAAAGGGGGG